TATAGATAAAACCATACTCATGTGGAAATTTTCTGCTTTACATTTTACTACCATGTAAATTCATAACCCACTGCATTTCACAGATCAGATTAGTCTACCAATCTTAACAGAAGTTAAATTAAAAGATTAATCCTAACCAGTCATTCAAACTAATTAACCAGCAAAGAATTAAAAAGAAGCTCTGCATTTCTCTGTTCCCAGAGCCCTCATGCAGCAGAGGGCTTTGTGCTGGTTACAAATCTTACCACGTAGGAGAAATTTGCTAAAGTGGCTTTTGTGCATGCAGTGGCATCATTGGGTCTGACCACTGCTGTGATTCTTTGCCAACAACTGCTTTTGAACATTTGCCACCTTCCCTGCTGCTGCTGAGGCTCAGAAACGGATGTAGGGAGGCCAGCAGCCTTCACAACTTTATCTGTTGGCACTGCAGGCAAGCAGGAGTCAAGCAGCATGGCAGAGGAAGAAATCTTTGAAATCTTCAATTTGAACACCCTGTCTAGAATCACCGAATAAGAATGGGAAGGGAGAAAAGAGGACTTGAAGTCAAAGGGCCAGCAATTGCAACTCAGAAAAAGAGGGAGTTGTTTGGGAACAGGCTGGATGGAGAATGTGGGAGGCAGATGAGGATTTGTTGCTGTATTGTGGTCACTTTGACATTTTGGGGCAAGATGCCTTGTTTCAGGTGGCTCTATGGTTCTTTGTAGGATGTTTAGTAGCATTCTTGGCCCTTACCTACTAGGTGCCAATAGTAGCTCCCCCCATTCTCCTCTGGGACAACCAATGTGTCTCTAGACAGTTTTGATTATTCTCTGGCAGACAAAATCACCCTGGTCGAGAGCCACTGGTGTAACACACAATGGCCCTTTCAGTAGGCTGCATTTTGGATTTTGTTCAGCCAAATATAGCCTAATTTTATTTTGTGGTTTGTTAAATTGTCATTCTTCAAGAAGATATCTTGAAGTCTTTGCCCTCCATACCTCAGACTGTGACCACTTTTGTAAATGGTGTCACTGCAGATGTAATTAGCTGTGATGAGGTCATGCTGGTGTGAGGTGGGCCCTAACCAACATGACTCATCATGACTTGTGTCCTGCTAAGAAGCTGGCCATATGAAGACAGAGAAACACACAGAGAGAATGCCATATGATGAGAGAAGCCAAGATTATAGTGAATGCCAAGCATTATGAGAAAGATAAGGAATTGCCCTGGTAACATCTTGATTTTGGACTTCTAGCTTTCAGAACTGTGAGATAATATGTTTCTGTTGCATAAGCTACCAAGTTTATGGTACTTTGATTCAGGAGAACTACAAAGCTAATACTGCTTCCCTGCTGAAGTTGATCTCTGCTTTTGATATACTAAGTACTTCACAGACCTGCCTCATGGAATTCTGACAATTGTTTTTGGGTGGTAAAGATTAGACCAGTTTTCAGAAGAGGTAAAAATGTTTTCATTTTTAAATTTTTTTTAAAAAATTAAAAATTAAAGGAAACAAATTTCATGTATTTCATATATACAGGTTTAGGAATATAGTGATACTTCCCATCGTACCCTCCCTCCTATCTATGCTCCCATTCTTCCTCCTCCTTTCTCTCCTATTCTCTCTCAACAATGATCTACTTTCAGTTTACTTTATACTCATAAAAGTAACCCCAAACTAAGAGTTCACTATATAATCAGAAGAAAAGTAAAATAAAATATATTACATTTTGGGTACTCTATTAGTTATCACAGGTCAGAGAAATCATATGATTTTTGTCTTTTTGGAACTGACTAATACCACTAAGTATATTTCTTGCCATTTGCATCCATTTTGTTTCAAAAGACAGGATTTCATTTTTTTTCCTGCTGAGTAGTATTCCATAGTGTATATATGCTATGATTTCTTTATCTAGTCATCAGTTTATGGACATCTGGGTTGATTCCATATCTTATCTATTGTGAATTGAGCTGCTACAAACCTGTGGGTACAGATAACTCTTTAATATGCTGATTTAATTTCCCTTGGGTAAATTCACAGTAGTGGGATTGCTGAGTCACATGATAGATCTATTCAGCCTTTTGAGGTATCTCCATACTGTCTTCCACAGTGGCTGTACCAGTTTACATTCCTGTCAGCATTGGATTAGGGTACCTTTTTCCCTCACATCCATGGCAGAATTTATTTTTATTTTTATTTCTGTATGAGAGCCATTTTAACTTGAGTAAGGTGAAACCTCATTGTATCACGATTTCTTTATCTAGTCATCAGTTGATGGACATCTGGATTGGTTCCATATCTTAGCTATTGTGAATTGAGATGCACTAAACATGGGGGGTACAGACAACTCTTTCATATGCTGATTGTATTACATTTGGGTAAATTCCCAGGAGTGGGATGGCTTGATCACATGGCAGGTCTATATTCAGATATCTGAGGTATCTCCATACTGTCTTGCACAGTGGTTGTACCAGTTTACATTCTCATCAACAGTGGAAGGGCTACATTTTCCCTTACATCCTCACCAGCATTTGTTGTTTGTTGATTTCTGCATGACATTCTAACTGGGGTGAGATGAAGCCTCATTGTGGCTTTTATTTACATTTCTCTGATGACAAGTGATTCTGAGTATTTTTTCATGTATCTATTGCCATTTGAATTTCCTCTTTTGAAAACTGCCTGTTCAAATCCTTTGCCCACTTCTTAACTCTGTTGTTATTGACTTTCTTGAGCTCATTATATATTTGGGGTATTAATCATTTATCAGTTGCATAATTTGAAAATATTTTCCTATTCCGTTGGTTGCCTATTCACTTTGCTGAGTGTTTTTTCCTTTGCAGTGCAGACACTTCTTAGCTTGATGTAATCCCATTTGTCTATTTTGTCTTTGATTTTCTGTGCTTCTTTTCCAATAACGGTGTCTTACAGATTTTTCCCAATGTTCTTCTCTAACAATTTGATGATATGAGGTCATAGATTTAAATCCTTGGTCCATTTTGAGTTGATTTTATATAGGATGTAAGGTGGGAGGTTTATTTCATACTTCTGCCTGCAGAGATCCAATTTTCCCAGCACCATTTGTTGAAGAGACTGTTCTTTCTCCAGGGATTAATTTTAGCTCTTTTGTAAATGATTAGTTGGTTTTATATTTGTGTATTGATTTCCATTCTATTCCATTGTTATACTTGTCTTTTTTTTGTGGCAGTAGCAGGCTGTTTTGATTATAACTACCCTGTAGTATTTCTTGAAATCTGGTATTGTAATGTCCCTAGCTTTGTTTTTGTTTTTAAGTTTAGTTTAGCTATTTGTGGTCTTTTGTGTTTCCATATGAATTTTAACATTGTTTTTGCTAAATCTGAGAAGAATGTCTTTGGTATTTTGATTGAGATTTCATTGTACCTATAAATTGCTTTTGGTAGTCTGGACATTTTGATTATATAAATTCTTCCAGTCCATGAACATGACATATTTTTCCATTTTTTGTGACTTCTTCTATTTGTTTCTTTAATATTTTATAATTTTCATTGTATAAATCTTTTACCTCCTTTTAAAATTTATTCCAATATATTTAAAATTTTTGTAGGGATTGTGAATGGGATTGATTTTAGAAGTTTATTCTCAGCCATGACATTTTCTATGTACATAAACGCTACTGATTTTCATGTATTAATTTTATACTCTGCAACTTTATAAAACACTTTTATGATTTCCATTATTCTTTAGTGGAGTTTTTTGGTTCCCCTATGAATAGAATGATGTCATTTTCAAATAGGGATAATTTGACCTCCTTCTTTCTAGTTTGTGTCCCTTTGATTTATTTTGTTGCCTAATGTCTCTGTCTAAAACTTTGAGAACTATATTGGATAGCAATCGTGAAAATGAGCATCCTTTTTGTGGTTCCAGATCTTAGTGGAAATGCTCCCAACTTTTTCCCATTAGGTAAGATGCTGGTTGTTGATGTTTGCACTACCACAAAGAGGAGAGAACAAGTTGAACTCAGATCTTGCTGAAGGCCAGGGGAAAATTCTTTCTGTGTTACAACAGTGCTCCTCTCCAGTGAACCCTTACCTCTCTTCCCAGGACTGGAGATCTCCACAGTGTAGTGAGTGAAGGTGCCAGAGAACATCAATATGGCAAAAAACAAAACAAAAACCTCTGACCAAAATGTTCATGCCTTACCCTTCAGAGCCTATAAATACATTTTCTTACATGGCACTAGGAATTGAATTGTGTTCTATCAAAAGACATATTGTGAATTTATTTAGGAATGGAGTTGTTGCAGATACAGCTAAGTTCATACAAGGTCATACTGGAGTGATGTGAGCCCATTATCCAATGTGACTAATGTGTTTATAATAAGGGGAGCTTTGAACACAAGGATATGAAGATAGGAGAATGCCACATGCTGACACAGGCTGAGATTGAAGTGCTGATGTTGCAAGTTAAGGAGCACATAGGACTATTAAAAGCTGGATGGGATCAGGAAAGATATACTGTTGGAGTTGGATACTTTGAAGGAAGAACAGCCCAGCAACACCTTGGTTGTAGACTTCCAGCCTCCAAAACTGTGAGAGAGTTTTTTCTTTTTTAGTCCACCCAATTTGTGGAATTTTGTTGTGTTAAGTTCAGGAACTGATATACATAGTATAAAGAACTTTGCTGATATGCTTAAGGGAACAAAGCTTGACAAATGGGGATTATTCTGGTTTATTAGGATGGGCCCAATGTAATCACAAATAATCCCTGTGATAGAGGAGAAAGAGTGTCAAAGCCCAGAGAGATTTGAAGATGCTCTACTGCTGACTTTGAAAATGGAGGAAGGGGCTGTGAGCCAAGGAACTCTAGAAGTTGAAAAATGTGAGGAAAAAGATTCTGCTCTAGTACTTCCAGAAGTAGCATGGCCCTACCAATACCTTTATTTTAGTCCACTGAGGCCCATTTTGAACTTATGACCTCCATAACTGTAACATAATGTATTTGTATTATTGTAAAATGCTAAATTTCTGGTAATTCTTTGCAGCAGCTGTGAGTGATCAATATACTGGAGAATCTGACAGCCTTGCTTGTGACCTGCATCCAGCACCCAGTTGCTCTCTTGGACTCTGAGGTTAGAGTGAAACCGTGAACTATTTCATTCATTTCATTCATATATTTCTGGATTTATTTTATGAAAGAGGATCAAATGTATTTCCAAATCAGATGTTTCCTCAGACACTGACAAGCATTTATAAAATATGAAAAGAGAAAGAATAATATAGGATGAATGAAAATAAATTTATGATTGGTAGTAACAATATTTATAAAAAGCTTTATATTTTACAAAGTATGCTCTCCTGTAGTATTTCATTTCACTTCCATAAGTCCACCAGAATAAAAACAGAACAGGGATCCCATCTCATGGATGAGCTTCAGAGAGGTTAAATTATTAGCTTAAGGTCCCACATCTTGTAAGTGGCAGAACTGAGACTTGAAGACAGAGGTTGTGATTCTATATATAATCCTTTCTTACTAAATCATGCCTTTTCATAGTAGTACTGTAATATTTATTTTGAGTGACTGTATAGCATACACAAATTTCATAACCAATAACACTTAGTTGTGCAAATTAGTTCACTGTTTCTACAAGTGAACTTAGTATTTTTCCTAAGTCTCAATCCTGCTGCATGACACAAAGTGTATTATTGTGTAAGTGTATTATTTCAGGTGACCTAAGTAATTTCTGATCTTGCCTCCGTGTTCTGTTTCCTGGATTACCACCTAGGTTAAAGGAGGTTTATACAACTTTATGGCCTGGAGCAAGGTAAGATTATTTCAGCATTTTCTTTGATGTACATAGACTCATTTTCTTTGATGTACATAGACTTCTGTGGTTCTTGTTACTCTCACCTCCATGGGTCATCCTCTGAGATAATTGTGTCCCCACATGGTCTCACCCACATGTGGCCCATCACACTTTATCTAGTATTTCCACTTTTTCATAACCAAATGACTCTTTGGGGCCCGCTCACTCATGACTTTTTAAAACAAATTATTTAAGGTATACAAGTTTCATGTATTTGCTATGTACAGAATCATGATCATAGTGATACTTCCCACCCTACTCTTCCTCCCACCCACACTCCCATCATTCTTCCTCCCCATTTTCCTATTCCAATTCTTAATTTTTACCAAGATCATCTATTTTCAGTTAACTTTATACTCATAAGATGAACCCTACACTAAGTAAAGAGTTCAACAAATAGTGTGAAAAAAAAAACACTGCTCCTCAACAGTTGAGACAACAGCTGTAAACAATCATCAAATTTCAAAATGTTAATTTCACTTCTATAGATTATCTTTTAAGTACTCTATTAGTTACTACAGATCTTGTTCATACTTTTGTGGGGCTGAATGCTCAGATCCAAACTGTATGCCTTTTGTGGACCCTTCTATAAGAAAATAAGTTAAAAACTTACAAAAATGAACTATATGTGAGAGGGAATATTTGCTTCATTAGTTTCCAGTTGAACCAACTCTGAGGCAATAACAGGCTCTGGCTATCCACCTCAGGGTTGGTGAGGAGCCTAGAGGTAATAGGTTTGAGAATTTTTTTGTAACCTGTACATTGTGGATGGCTAAAAAATTGGAACCTCTTTTATAATGGTCAACAAAGTTTGAACCAATTTAAGAATGGTCAATTTGACATGCTACATAAGTGTTCTTGGTCTAACTAATTGCATGTAGGAAATTTCAACATCTCTTTTCTGAGATACATTCTGCTACTCTTAGGAATGATACTTTTAATGCAAAAAGGGAATAATTTAAAGGAGAATCTTTGTGCTGAAGTCTTAAAAGAAATTGATCTACAATTAAGGTAAATCAGACTATTATGAAATCTTGATGTGAATGGAAGGGGAGAGGGAGTGGGAAAGGGGAGGGTTGTGGGTGGGAGGGACGTTATGGGAGGAAGCCATTGTAATCCATAAGCTGTACTTTGGAAATTTATATTCATTAAATAAAAGTTTGAAAGCAAGAAAAAAAAAGAAAAAAAGAAAAGAAAAGTATACTTTGGGGCTGGAGCTGTGGCCTAGTGGATTAAACAGCTGCCTAAGGCACTGGCATAACCATATGGGCACCGGTTCGAGTCCCAGGTGCTCCACTTCTGGTCCGGCTCTCTGCTGATGCTCCTGGGAAAGCAATGGAAAGTGGTCCAAGTGCTCGGGCCCCTGCCACTTACATGGGAAACCTAGATGAAGCTCCTGGCTCCTGGGTTCGGCCCGGCCCAGCCCCCGCCATTGAGGCCATTTGGAGAGTAAACCACCAAATGCAGGATCCTCTCTCTCTGTATTTCTCCCTTTCTCTGTAACTCTTTCAAATAAATAAAATAATTTTTTAAAAAATGTATATATATATACACACACACACCCACACACAGAAAAGTATACTGCCTGTTATTATCTTATAGTCACCCTACTGTGCAACAGAATACCAGAACTTTTTTTCACCTAACTATACCTTAATACCTGCTAATCAACATTTCCTTATCCCTCTCTTCCCCCAGCCCTCCTCAGCCTCTGGTAACCCATATCCCACTCTTAATTCCCTTTTTTAAAAGATGGATTTATTTACTTGAAAGGCAGAGTTACCAAAGGGGGGGGGGTGCAGCAAAGAGAGACACATCAGATCTTCCATCCCTCAGTTCACTCCTTAGATGGTCACGGTGGCGGGGGCTGGACCGGGCCAAAGATAAGAGCCAGGAGTGTCTTCCACAGGTGCAGGGGCCCAAGCGCTTGAGCCGTCTTCCATTGTTTTCCCAGGTGCATTGGCAGGGAACTGGATCGGAGGTGGATCAGCTGGGACTCGAACCAGCACCCATGTGAGATGCTGGCACCCTGGGTGGTGATTTAATCTGCTACAACATAGTGACAGTCCCTCTACTCTTAACTTCTATGAAGTCAACTCTTACATTCTACATGCCAGTGATAATGTAGGACACTTGGCTTTCTGTGCTTGACTCATTTTACTTATTATAATGATCTCCAGTTCCATTTTATGAATAGTATTCCATTGTGTGTGTGTGTGTGTGTGTCATATTTTCTCCATTTGTTAGTTGATGGATACTTAAGTTGCTCATTTCTTGGCCATTGTAAACAAATATTTTAAGGCTCAGAGATTTAGAAAGAAATACACTCCAAAAATAACAGGAAAATTTAAAATTTGAAAGTAAGCTCCTGAGTTAAAATTTACCTCTTTTTATTTGTTGGTCAAATGGAAGGGCCTGATCTGCTTTCTTTTCCTATAGTTGACTTACTGTACAACAGTGGTCTGCATCCTTTTGATCATGCCAAGAGTGTCAATACAGCAGAGAAGGAAAACCACCAGTATTAGAATTAAGCTCCTGCCTTAAGTTGCAACACAGCTTAGGCCTTTGGGAAATAGCACGTAGGTACAGAAAGGTGTTGATTTTAAACCAGACTGGATGCCAGATCTGCCACTTGCTGACACTTTTAAGCTGGCAGGCTATTTAACATCTATGATTTTCTTTTTCTCATCTGTAAAATGAGGGTGAAAGTGCTCAGTTTATCAGTTTGTTATTACTACAAAATGAAATAATATATAGAAATGACCTGAAATAAAGAAAATGCTCAATGAAAAAAAATACACATATCGAAAAGAAAATGAGCAGTTTGAGAAGTGGCTGTTATAGTTTGTGTATTAGTTCAAGAGTTTTCCAGACTCATGTGTTAAATATTTGGTTTCCGAAGTCTTATATCAATGACTAATAGATTAAGAGTGGAGACTTAATCCAATTATGATGTCTAAAAAGTGTGACCTTTGGGAAGTGATTCAATTGGATTGGGTTGTTGAGGTAGATACACCATAATGGAATAATGGTTATTTTATTAGGAAAAACATATAGACATGGGAAAGGGTGCTTTCTCTCTTTCTGCTTCCTGGCTCACACATGCTGCTCTTTCCACAAATGTCTTAACATCCATTTCTCTGACTGGGTGTCAAACAAATGGTGTCATTCAATCTTGGACTGTGAACCTCCAAAACTGTGAGCCTCAATAAATCTCTCTTCTTCAGTAGCTTCTTTTGGGTATTTTTGTTAAAGGGTTGAAAAGTTGACTAAAACAGTGGCAGTGCCTGTTCTATGTGTAATGAACCTGAGCATTGTCACAGAATTGGATTGTGGTGAGGTGAATCTGGAACTAGGGATAATTGAGTTCAAATATGGCTGTGCTCTAACTCATGATGTCTCATCTGATTTGGATCTCATTTTTCTTACATGTAAAATGAAATGTTCATACTTGATAGTACACAAGGTTATTTCTTGGTTATTTTTAAAGAAGAGTTATTTACTTATTTGAAAGTCAGAGTTACAGAGAGGGAGAGACACACATAGAGAGAAATGTTCCATTCACTGGTTAATTCTCCAGATGGCAGCAGCAGCTAGGGCTTGGCCAGGGAGAAGCCAGGAACGAGGAGCTTCATCAGGGTCTCATACATAGGTGGCTGGGGCTCAGACACTTGGGCTATCTTTTGCTGCTTTCCAAGGTCATTAGCAGGGAGTTGGATTGGAAGTGGAGCAGCTGGGTCTTGAACTGGTGCCCATATGGGATGCTGGCACTGCAAGCGGTGGCTTAACCTGCTATGCCACAATGCCAGCCCCAAGAAAATGACATTTCTACAGTAACAATTAAAATGAGGACAGTGGAACAATATTTTTAGTAGTCTGAGAGGTAAAAGTTGTCAATCTAGATTATACATTAAAAATATTTTTCAAAAATGACGTGATTAAATATACCTACAGATAAATGAAAATTGGATACCCATTATCAAAAACCCTCACTAATGGGAAATTGCAAGAGCTATACTTGAGAAAGATAGAAAATGACCTCAGCTAGGAAGTCTGAATGATAATAGGGAATATTGGTACAGATATTAGTTAATGTGTGTATTAAATCTAAAGAAACACTGATGATATGAAATAATAAAAACAATAATTTGTAAAATAAAGATAACTCAGAAGTAAAATATTGGACATAATTTTATATATCATTTTAAACTAGTTTTAGCCACTGACTCCTATGCTTTCTGGAGTTAATTGTCCAGAGAGAGTTATTTCTGAAATTCATATTTGACAAATATTTTTTATTTGTTAAGACCAAAGGGAAACTGGCTGATGTTTGAACACTGGACATGGCTCCAAGCTTGGCAGCTGTGATTATATTAGAACTAGTCTAGTGCTCCATCCTTGGTGTTCTGTAACTAAGGCTAAACAAAAGAGTGGATATTGATTTAGACACTTAGAAATTTGTAACACAGCTCTATGTCAATATTTATATCTTATATTTGATTTCTTTAATGAGGGCTAGTTAGATACTTTGTGATCACATGACTAGTGGCTGACAGTAAAAGAACAAGAGTTAATTTCTTTTTCTTACCCAGAAATCTATTATTTAAGTTATAAAAGCTTCATGTATTTCATAAATACAAATTTATTAGCATAATGATTCTTCCCACCCTACCCGCCCTCCCACCAGCACTCTCACTCTTCTTCCCCCTCCTTCTCCTATTCCCATTCTTATTTTTTACTAAGATAGATTTTCAATTAACTTTATACACATGACATTAACCCAATACTAGGTAAAAAGTCAACAAACAGTATGAAAAGAACTATTTATCAACAGTTGAGACAAGGACTCTTCAAAGTTATCACATCTCAAAGTGTCAATTTCACTTCTATAGATTACCTTTTAGGTGCTATATTAGTTACCATACAGTTCTCACTGTGAGCATGGATCCCATAGTAAT